CGCGTGTCCGCCCCCCGAGCCCCCCCCCGACCACTGCCCACCACCGAGCACCCCGCCCACCACTGTCCACCACCGAGCACCCCGCCCACCACTGTCCACCACCGAGCGCACCGTCCACACCGAGTGTACTGTCCACCACCAAGCATCCCGCCCACCACTCTCCACCACTGAGCGCACCGTCCACACCGAGTGCACCATCCACCACCGAGCGCACCATCCACACCGAGTGCACCATCCACCACCAAGCGCGCCGTCCACACCGAGCGCCATGCTTCGGCTGGCCCAGCCAGGACTGCAGCAGGGACGTGGGAGCAGCGGGAGTGGGCGGCCCCATCCTTACGCGTCGTCGCTGGAGCAGGTCCCGTCCCGTCCACATCTTGCGCCACACCCGTGTGTGGGTCTGCGGGAGGCTGCGGCACTGTGGTGGGGGTAGGCTCCACATCTGAGGGGTGAGATCAGAGTTATCCCGGTCCCGGCCCCAGCCTGAGGGCGGTTATGGTTACAGCAAACCTGGATGCGGGCAGGGAACACAGCTGCCCACCCGGACAGTCGCCGGGGCTCCCGCAGCTTTGGCCAGGCTGGCTTTGGTCTGTGGTTTTGCTGACTGTTTGTCATCTACCCCCCGTCCAGGTAAATAACATTTTAAAAATAACTCTGCTCTTCATTTAGCCTCCTTCACTTCATGGAGTGGATGTGCAAATAAAATACAAAATCCTCATCTGACACCACCTAGAAGGGGGCCCCGGCAGGCCACGGGCGGGGGGCGGGAGGCGGGCGTGGCACCGCCGGTGGGTCATGCAGTCTGTCATCGCCCACGCGAGCGTCTTTGGGGTTGAATGAGCACAGGCCCGGTGGCCTGGGAGTCCTGCCGACGTGTTCACGCGTGTGCCGCGGCCTGCTCTGCCCAGGGATGGGTTGGAGTGGACGTGAGCCACGGATGCCGTCGCATTGCTGACCTCGGCTCCCACACGGCCCGCCCACACTGCTGCCTCTCGGGAGCATCCCAGCTCCACGACCCCAGGGACGTCCGGAGGCTGGCAGACTGAAAACCTTCCAGGACAAACGCCGAGGCTGGCTGTCGCAGGTGCCCTCCCAGAAGAGTGCTGCCCGCCCCGCGGTGCAGACGTGTGTCCGCGTCCCGGCATGAGCGGAGTCCCTGGAGAGCTGTCACACCTTCCCTGGGGCGGCCTTGACGTGGTGGCTCATGAAGTCTTCACGGTCCGGGGACATCTCCTGGCTGGGCTCTGCGGCGGCCGTCTCCACGCCCCACAGCCACACATGGGTCTGCACACGCACTGGGTCCACGCGGCAGCCACCCAGCCGCTCAGCTCCACCTTGCTTTACACAGGGGCCCGCCATCTCCGTAGCTGCCGCTTTATGCCTCCCGTCCTCGGTACCTTCTCCAGGCCCTTGCTCTGCCTCTCCAGGCTTCCTCCGTTTTTCAAAAACAAGATCCAACAGGCTTCTCCTGTGCCCCTGGGGGTGGGGTGGGCCTGACGGTGTGGCCTTCACGGCTGCCTCACATTCAGTCACCGTGGCGCGGGGCGACCCTGTCAGCTGCAGCGAGAGCTCCTGAGAGCTGGGCCATGTGACACCTGCCTGTCGCCACGGCGCCTGGCCCGTTAGCAGGCGTTGAGGGCACAGCGCGGTGCTGGCGTTGGGTCCGGAACGCGTACGAGACACAGTTCAGAGGCCCCAAGGAAAGGGGCAGTGGACACAGCTGGGCTCCTGGACCCCAGCTTGGCAGTGAGTCACCAGCGAGGTCATCATGGCCGCAGTCGCCATGCCCTCAGCTCCTCTCAGCAGGGCTCGTCTTACCCTCAGTAATTTGGGTCCAGAAAACGTGTTTGACCCCATGACTGAACACTCATCCCCCGCTCAGTTCCTTGGACGTGTCCCCCTTGAGAACGTCACATTCCCACGGTCAGGGCAGGTCCTTATGTTACGAACACAAACCAAATAAAACGCTGCGGCAGCTACTCATGGGAGCAGCGAGAAGCCGGGCCTTCCCCTTGGCCAGGGTTTCAATCGCCAGAGGGAGCCTGCGTCTGCGGACTGCGGACAGGGACGGAGGCACAGAGAAGGTGCCCCGGCGGGCGTGGGGCTGCCGCCATCCCTTACCCCCCTTCCTCTGGCCTGCGGGGTTTGGGGCACACTCGCACACGCTTGGCATGTTTTTCAAGCCACTGCTGCCAGGATTCAAACCGTGGTCGGCGGTGTGGGGTCAGCTTCCCTCCTCGCTAGGCTGTGGGGCTGGCCCTCCTGCGGTGCCTTCCCAGGAACCCGCCCCCTGCTTTGATAAAGAAGCCTCCCTGCCAGTACAAAAATTGGTAAAACAGAATTCTAATCTTCACTTTTACTCTGTCTTTTCGAACTGCTCGTAGGTAAATGAAAGTGGTACTTAAGAGAGCGAGGAGCCAAAGTCACCCACACTTTCATTTTTTTGAGAGGTTTTTTTTTTTTTTTTGCTATAGGGCACGTGCGCTCGCCAGAAAGAGAGACAGAGACAGAGAGACAGAAAGCAAGAAATCACTCCCCAGGGGGGATGGCCACGCCGCAGTCCTTTCTCCATTCTCCTCTCGGGATCTTGGGCACGCACGCACACGCGCCCAGTGTGAGTTTAAGCCACCGGGTCTGGGACGCGAACCACGGTCAGCTACATGGGAGTCCAGCGACATTACACTAACTGCTGGTCCCGAGTCACCGACAGTTTCTGAGGGACAAGTGTAGTCTGGGCCCTAAGCCACTGGGCACGCTCTCCGGGCATCACAAGAGCGAGTACTGAGGCTTGCTCAGACTGCCGTCCTTACTGGAATAACCACTCGCCAAGTTCTGACCCCGAGCGTTCTCTACCAAAGACAAGGCCGTCCTTGCGTCTGCAGTGGGGACAGTCCTCGAGCCCGTCACCTCGCTTTCCTGAAAACCTTGCACTTAGAACAAGTAGGAGAGTCGGGAGACGCCCCTTTCTCAGGAGAGCGGCCTCCGCATCCGCCCGCCCAGGCCGGCTTCCTCTCTACCCTGACAAACCTTCACTCTCAGCTCCGGACCCTGACCCGGGAGTGTGCGTGCCGCTCCTGCCAAAGAAAACTAAGTTTGGGAGAAACTTCAAGTTCCCTAGGAGAGTAGACTGACCTAAAGCCAAGGGCAGATTTCTAGGAAAATAATCCTTAGTGCCTCCAGACGAGAACACAAACCGCTCAGAGATCGCCCATCCGTCCCTCCGCTGACGGGCGTGAGGCTGGGCCCGAGGAACCTGGCGGAGCTTCGGGTTCGGGCTGCCACCCCTGGCGTGGGGGCTGCCGTGGCCGCAGCTGGCGTGGCTCGGGGAGAGCACGGTCGGAGTGCTCATGGGGCTTTACCAGGGACGTGCCGCTCTGCAGACGGTTTTCCCGACAGCTGGCGGAGGAGAGGAAGCGCGGTGCTGGCAGGTCTGGCTGTTCCTGCGCTTTTTCTCAGCCACAGCCCGAGGACCGGAGGACCCGGACCTCGACAGCTCCCGCGGTGGGCAGGGGTGAGGAGAAGGTGGGTGCCCCGGAACCATGCCAGGCTGCCAGCCACTCCTGGGGTACAGAACCCACATCAGGTGCCATTCTGAGACATCCGTGTCCCAGCAAAAGGCCGCCTGCCCTTGGGGACCTGCAGAGGGGCGTGGCGCCCGTGGGTGCACGCGGGTAAGCACCTTCCCTCAGGAGCTGGCAGTCTGTTAGAAGCAGCGCTCTGCCAGTGGGCGGCCGGGCACGCGTGACTGAGGACGTGGCCAGGCCCTGCTTCCTCTGAGCCCACCCGGGAGACGAGGTGGGGATGGGCAGTGTCCCTGAGCCACGGCCGCAGCCATAGCTCAGGGCCTGTCACTGGAGCCACAGCTGTGCCAGGGTTGAGCTGGCACGCGGCGGAAGGCTGCTCCGTGTCCCACATCTTCACGGCCAGTGGAAAGGGGGCTCCCGAGAACGCGGGATGCGTGTTCTCTGCTGGGCAGGGAGCATTTCAACATGTGGGTGTCCCGGATGGAAGGGCCACCCGGGGAGCTCCTGGGCACAGCATGTGCATGCGTGGAGATGGTAAAGGACAGGAGCCCACGGTCCTGCAGTTCGAGACCAGAGAAGGTATTGTCATCTACGGAGGGGTCGGCAAGGCCACATTTTAAGATAATAATAAATTAATTCAATTAAAGAAATAATTCTTTAAAAATATAGAAAAGAAGACTTGACATAGACTGCCACATCACTCAAAGTTTTTTAAAAAGAAAGAAAAACCTAAAAAGGCCTCTGCCTCCCGCTGCTTCCCTACGCACTGGGCTCCCAGGCACCGGGGCCGTTCCCGGCAGAAGCAGGACTTGGTCGGCAGGCGGGGCTCTCCCACAGGCACGCAAGGCTCTTCTCCGGGAGCTGCGAAGCTCACTGATGAAGCCTGGGGTCCCCCTCCACGGCTCCTGGGCCTGCCAGCCTGGGTGACACCCTGCAGAAGCTGTCTCTACCTGTCGGCAGGCGCAGCGGCGGCCCAGCACCCTGGACGAGAGGCCCCTCGTTCCGAGCCTCAGGAGCAGCCTCCTGCTGTCCAAGCACAAGCCTGCACGTGCAGACGGGCCCAATGGGGCGGCCCGGGTCCTACGCGAGGGACCAGCGTGCCCTCTCTGCTTCCTTCTCTGCTAAACTTCTTCGGGCCAGGCTATGGAGGGGTCTCTGCCCAGGAACCGTTAGCCTACGTCGGAAGCTCATCCTTTACTTTCTGAAGACACCCTCAAACCGTGTTTCCAAATCCCTTTGGCTCCCAAAAACCTTCAGGAAGATTCCAGGCTGTGAGGACGTGACCAGCTTCATCCCAGACGCAAGCTTCGTTTGCCCTGGAAGACTGCAGCTCTCGGAGAGCGGTGAGAGCACATGCATCTCCTTCATTTTTTGGTTCTGTTCTTATGGGAAACGAGATTGTTCTGGAAGACCCGAGGGCTCATCCATGAGCAGGAATCACGAGACCATCGAAGGCTCCCCCGTCTCCTCGGGTGTCAGAGCAGAAGAGGCCGCCGCAGACCCCAGCCCTGGCTGGGAGCACCTAGCTCCCCTCCGAAGGGGCGAGCGGCCTGGCCACGCACTGAAGGACAGGCGAGAGCAAGGGACCGACCGGCTCACGGAGGTCTTCCCACGTCAGACTTCCTGAGTGACCAGAGTGCACTCCCTGCGCGGGTCCCTGGGCACCAGCCATCTTTAACAGCTCTGCTCTCTAGGCGCTGTGGCTTTGTCACCTGACGAGCTGCATGTCCCTCCTCGTCTCTGGAAGCCAGCGGGTCTGACGCTCTCTAGGCTCTGGGGATGAGGGGAAGCCGGTGGGCGCAGTAGACATGGCCCGTGTCTACACGGTGTCTGTCCTGCTCTCTGGGGTGTCTCGGCCACCCTGTGCTGCTCTGCCTGCAAGTGCAGGGCCTGCCCCGCTTCCTGGTGCTGTCGGTAGCGAGGGGACGTCCCCAAGGCACCGCTGCCACGTCTGTCTGAGCACCGTGGGGACCCTAATACACGGTGACTTCCTGCCAGCCGGCCTCGGGGGGCTGTCCTTCCACAGGGGGCCACAGGGCGCGGGCGGGTTTGAGCTCCCACGCCCGCACGGCCTCTCCGAGCAGCTGCTCGCAGCGAGGATGACTCCAGCCCGCCCCAAGAGAAGACGGGGCCATGGGACGTCCCACGGTGGCCCGATGTCACATCGCGCCCACCCGGTCGGAGGCAGCACCGGGAGCCAGCGGAACGCACTCTCTGCTGCACGGAGGCCACGCCAGCCTCG